ATCCCACCCCCCCCCCCCCCGAATGTATAAACAAAGACAATCCTGTAAAGACAACATGCGGATATTTGGTTTGCGCGACTTTGTTGTGGCCAGGGACCCCAGTGAGTTGGAAAGGTAAGTGTTTAAAACATACTGGAGTGCTGCATCATATTCCAGATCACCAAACTCACCTCTGCAAGTCATCGTCAGATACAGTTTCGGCGAAGCCAAAGGCAAGACACAACAGTACCTTACTCCCGCGACAAATTTAAACTCAGCACATGTGGAGATACAGGCATTCGTAAAATTATGCTCACTCGGTGGAATTTGGTCATTTTGTCAGTTTCTTGCAACAAGCGACGCTTTAGGGAATGACCCGAAGCTGCCCATGCTCACTGAGTTAGTGACTCTCGTGAAGTCTACAAACAGAGCCTTTATCTCTTGGTTCCGTTCCCGACATTTTTCCTGAAACTTGGGGATGGGGTTAGGGCTTAAGATCTACCGCAAAGCTAAGTCCCAATTACCCTTCAGGAATAGTTTCACCAAGAATATCAATGGTACCCTAGTGAGGCGGGACTTTATGGCAGGAATCACACCTCAGCATAGAGTCTGACTTGTAGACAATTATTTGTCATGTAGGCTTTTCGTGACTTTGAACAGTAATATTGTTATGGTGTTTATGGATTCTTGTGAAACATTTTAGTTTCGCGAATCGGACGCAAGACTTTGTCTTTCACCTAATGTTTCATCCTCTCTTGCCTCTCCTTCCCGTATTCCAGGTGTTGCTCTTCGAGAATGAACCTTTGTTAGTGGACTGGCATCCCGTCCTTAAACGGTTTGAACATTTCTACTGGAGAGTTCAAATTCATGTATATATATATATATATATTCGGAGGAGAGATTTCAGAACTTCACTCATTTCTAACTAATGAATATACTTTTCTGAATTGTTGACTGACTGATCAGAATTAAGCACGACTAAATTTGCCGGAAAGATGAAACAGGTGATGAAAGACTATTTACACGGTAGTTCTGCATACCGAAAGGCAAATTCAGACAAGAAGCGGTGCCAGTGTAATTCATTCTTGATTGCATCAGTCAACAGTTGTTTCCTCATATAGACGTTCGGCCGATCTTTGTATTCTCAACCGAAAGTGTGGATCCGAAGTTGAAGAGCATAGCGTAAGATGACGTCATTCAATTACGTTTGTAAGCGCTTTAAATGCCACTTTTCAAGTACGAATGGCCAAATTCATTATCAAAGGAGGAGAAAAGAATCCAGCGACAAACCAAGTTCTCAGGGGTGGATGTGCCAAACAAAACGGGCGTTTTCTCCGCGATCGTTACTTTGATGAGCTAGCCATGAAAGTTTCTCTGATACAGGAGTTGATATCGAATCATTCTAGGTTCGACGCATCCGTCGTACTCAAAACTATTCGAGAAGTTGTGACGACAGGTGGGATAGAGAAGTGACAAGCTGAGAAAACGTAAAAAGAAATATGATACAGTGCACACATATGACCCTGGAACCCACCTGAATTTCTCGTTTGTGATGTTTCCAGACAACCGAATGTGCTTCACCAAGCCGCTTCATCTTTCAGTTGCTACATTTTTCGAGACATCGCGATACATGTATATTCGTAACGCACGTTCAGTTTCCTGAAAACATCGCAAACGAGAGATTCAGCTGGGTTCCAGGTGAGTCTCTCGCAAAACCAATTTTTTTTGCAAATGACTGTATTTCGGTAACTCCGTGCAATTTGGTTTCAAGTAGAACATAAGGTTGACGGAAACTCGGGGACTGCGCCTACCTAATGAGCCTCAAGAAGGGCAAAACCGGTCGTGAGCTGTCGGGGAATTTTGAGAAAACTTATAGGGCCTAGTGTTTTACAGTGAATTAGATCTAAAGACTTCATGGCAAGATTCCGTTCGCCAAAATTTTGAGTAAACATGTCAAAAACGTCAGGCATGGTTTTGATTGGTAAACCGATGTTTTAGATCACTGTTCACAGTGTGCAATTTTTTCGCCGCTGAGTGAGTTCCTTCACACTTCGAATTTTTTTCTAGACGTGGGTAAATATACTTTACCCATCTGCCTGGCACACGAGTCAATTCTAACCTGAACAGGGAAGATAACAACAGAATGTCACTCAACGCATTACTGATCGGCAAAGACGGCAAAGTTTTGACGAATTTCGTGATGAATAGACGTGAACAAGTGATGTATGAAGGGAACAGAGGTCAGGATTGTGCTGTCTTGAGTTGAAATCTCCTCAATAAACCTGACTTATATCTAAGTAAACGCTTTTTCCTAGGCCCCTTCAAGCACTTGTCGTAGTTAGGCGGCCCAAATATGGCTTACTGGTTTGAAGTGCTGTGCGTACTTTCTTCCAGTGCTAAATGGATTTGAGTATCAGAATGTCCACTGTCAAAGGCAACTCGGAACTCCCGTTCTTATATTTAACTAAGCTTGACACTACCCGTAGCTTCATGTGAACACTGTAGCGTATGGAATTCTCATAAGGGAACCCGAAATTGGGAACAACTCACTGTCAGTTTGATTTAACTTGGAAGCCCATCGGGATTAGGAAATCCAGACAGTGGACAACAGTTTCCTATTCCACACACAATAAGGACGGACGGATATTGTTTAGTTAGTTGATATCTTATTGACCAGTATCATACTTGGGAAAAGTGTTTGACTGCTGAGTCCCAAGCAACAATGAAATTCATGGCCACTTGACCAGAAATAGCACCTGGATTGCTGTATGCTACTCACTGCCTTTAAGTAGCCAGATCAGAATGGGCAGCTTCACATACAAACGGCTGTGTGCTTCCAGTGTTGTCAACATATATTTTTACTACAACTCATACTACTACTACTGACTCGTGTGAATACGAAATCAGAACATTCACGGATTAGGATTCTCGTTTGAAAACAGCATCGGTATCACAACCTTATAACAACATTCCTAGGGTTGCCACCGAATAAATCAGTAGTGAGCTTTTACCATCTCGCTTCAGAATGTAAAGCATGATCCGGTTGACGAATGAGCGGTGTCAAGTTGGGGATCGAGTGGCATTTCACGACTGCGCGATTCTCAGTTGTGACTTACTCAAACCAGATTGTCGAAATCATCAGCTGAATGCTGAGGAAGCTAACGTCGACTGGCAGCGCTAGTAACACAATGCAAAGAGCATATGCTATTCAACTGTTATCAAAGAAATGATTAAGAATGCTGCCACCCTGCGCTGATAAAAGTTTCATGAGAGAAACAGTATAGTTTCATTCCGGGTCGCTTTTTAGCTTAATGGCCTGTACATCACGGGTGTGCATGGCTAATGCCCGCTTGATGAACAAACTCCAATAGGCATGTAAGTTTCCAGTACGACGAAATGCCACAATGTTCTAGAAATATCCACATAAATGTTATAGGCAGACCCTGTGTCTTGGGTGGACGAATGGATTGTCATTTCGTCGGACAGTGTCTGAAGTGGGCACTGATTTACTGAACATTGTCCTTCATGTCTATTCTCTCCTTGATGTCGTACAACTTAGGAACGAGCTCCTGACTTCCATGGCCACGCCAGTTTCCACTACAGTATTCCAACTTATTTACCCCTGTGTAATTATTCAACCAAATCTTTCAATACGGTGTTTGCGGCTGCAAACGCAATGTCAAAATGTTGACAAAGATGTCAAGAATGTACTTCTGGATGTGTTTGCCGTACAGGAACTTGAATGGTCTTATTGTCGCGGTTGTTTTTAAATGCTAAGGCGGACTACCGTGAGGCAGGTGGTTCTAAATAAGCTTGCTCTTGACAACTTGTTCTGCAACAACCCAGAAAGTGTATTTAAAGTGTCTCTAAATTTGCGCACACTGGCTTAGTGAGCAGATAATGAACAGGAATGAGAAGCCTGACGAATAATCCAGCCTTATACAGAATGGGTTCACAGGACTTCAGAAGACAGGAGTGAAACTGCATTCAAGTAAGATAAATTCGCCTACCGAACTTACGTTGTTTCACGTTATCAGTAAGGTGCTTGTTGTTTTCCCGAAACGCTGGGCGATCTTTTTGTAGAGTCACTCTTTAAGATGGGTTTCTCTGCCATCTGCCCGAAGACGAGGGGAGATCAAAATGTTGTGTGGCAGGGTGGGTTGAAGGAGGGAAGGCCGATTGGGGACTGTCATAAGACTCATATAAGTTTGAATTTGCACAGCCTGATTTTATTCGTTAGTATGAAGTGGTAAGTATTAGTTAAGAAAATAGCTAGGTGACCTGGAAGTCAGCCCCTCTAGTTTTGAACGCAGACAAAATTCGATTAATTCACCCCACCCGTTGTATTAACGGAACTCTGATGTTGTCAGCACTTCGTAATCAATGGGTTCTATCCACAGCTTCCAACAAAGAAGGATTTACTCACTGAAAGATGGATTCAAGTAGGCTAACATTTTCAACTCTTTGTATATGAACTCGGTGCTTTCACCAAAAATGAAGATTTAGCGGATCGTTTGGCAACGGCTTCCTCCCAAGAAGATATCGGGATATATAACACAGAAATAAAGGTTCCCGTTAACTTCGCTTTGTATCTTTTTCTGGTTTTACATAAGTTGATTTTTGCTATGCTTTCGAAGCAGAAATTCAAATGTGTCTGTAAGTGCCTTAAGTCGGCTTGTAGTAAAACGGAAGCCTTTCTCGGATTCTTCAAGATCAGAACGGGTACCAATGCAGCCAGATTGATAGCTGGAGTAGTAAATCTTGTCGTATGATTTTTTTGTAACTGCAATACTCAGTCTGTGTGAGTAAGCTGCTGTGGTAACGGGCTATGCTGGATACAGCTTCTTAAGCTTCTTATGCAAGAGGAGGATATTTGAATAAGAATTATGCCGTTTTGTTTTCTGGACTAAGAAACGATTGTCCGTGATATTTAGTTGCAGGAGCGACAATGATCTTCCCTGTACAGTCTACGGGTTTGATTCAAAGCTACAGTCAGTGGATTTAAGGAAACAAGTGGATAAACAACAACCCCGGAATCAGCCCTCGAGTTTGCTGAAGCCTGTTTATAGATCCCCAATCGGTTTGAAACCTCTGTCCGTAGAATGATAACTTTTCGACAATTTAACAGAAATGGCAGTATGTGGATCACTGGTGGCAGGTCAAAGATGAACGTCAGGTGTATAATGAACAGGAAACGCTGAAACAGGAGGGGAAGCTAGGAACCATTCATTACATATAAGCGCAGTGATTACAAAGAATGGATCACTTGAAATGTCGAGAGACATCGGGCAGACAAGGCTAGTTTGTAGCGTTGTGACTGGGTGGGTCTGGTGGACAGTTTTATTCTCTGCACTGTTTGAATTTCTTTGCGCACGGCAATAGACTTGACGGAAAACGGATAGGCATATGTAGACCCAGACAACAGAGATTGCAGTATGTTAGGATTACAAAAGAAACAACCTCAACTACATCATTAAAGAAATACCATTCGTAATGTTACTGAAAGTTCTTTGACAACCCACAATCTGTTTTATCTTTCTTAAGACTTATCAGGTAGGCACATTCTCCGGATTTCCATCAACCTCATGTTATTTTTTGGCCCGAACTGTACATTATTCGCAAAATACGCCTGGTGGAGAGTATTTTGCAAGAAGCGAAATACATTCGTTTGCAAACTTATTTGGTTTTGCAAGAGACTCAACTGGAATCCAGCTGAATCTCTCTTTTGTAATGTTTCCAGGCAACTGAGTGCACTGCACCAGGCCGCCTCGTGTTTCAGTTGCTACGATATTCGAGATATCGCGGTCGTGGGCTGTCGACGAATTTTCAGCAACCTTATGAATAATTTGCAAGTAATTCGGAACTGATTGAGCGAAATTACAAACGAATGGCTTTTTTAGTGTATTGATTATTTTGACTCGTTCAGCGTAGCGCGTTGAAGGTACTGTAAGAATCGCTTTTCCTAGAAAACGACAGCCATCTAAATGTAACCAGAGTGGGAACAAATAAACATGTTCGTCGGTTACCCAGGAATCTCTCTGCTGCTGAAACGTGAACTCGTTCAACACCGATTCTGCCATACAAACCTCCCGCTGTTTGAAGTAGGAATCACTTATAACCAGTGCACAAATGTCTTTTATAAATAAACTGCAGTAGTCAGGATTAGAATCTTACCGTAGGTGTACAACTTCTGGCTATGAGATTCAACTTGTAGGCTTGGGACGAATCTTGCGGATGCATTCATGACATTATCAAATCCCTAAATATCCGCTACTAACATAACTGGCAGAGACAAGAAATCACTTTATTGATTCCCGTGTAGCCTGGTTGCATACAACTCAACAAAAAGCGTTTGAACCATGGTGAAGCGATGACGGAGCGCCTTTTTCAGGTGCATATAATGCTAATATCACCTGATCCTTACAGGGCTTATTCACTGCTGTATGAATCAAAATGGTCAAGACCACCTTCCCAGTCTTCTTTGTGAGAAATCATCTAGTAATGCTACTTATTGCTAAAAAGTACTCTATATGGGTGGTTTCATGTAAATCTTATGTATACTCGAACTTATCTAAGCACGGTGTCACTCCCTTAGCTCTTCATCCTTGCAAAAACCCGAAGTGAAAGCTCAAAGCAGTTCAATCAAGCGTCAGAAGTGATATAAAAATGCATCTGTGTTAGGGATCCCGTACAGCCATGCGAAGTGCAAAAATGTTGGAAGTTTAGGATATCTGGCAGACAATTTCCTCAAACACATTAAGACATTTTCTGACTTGCATTTCATGATAAATGTGGTGTGATATTTTCAGGAGGAATAAAGCTGGAGATTGGTCATCTGCAGTTTTTCTTTCAGGCCATCAGGTTTCAAAGGGTACCTGAGTGGTGTAATTACATCCCCCGACAATTGTGCAAAATGCTTCATTGTTCTTTTCCATCGGGAACCATGAAGCTGCTAGCCCTGAAAACGTCCAACCGGCGTGTTCCCTACAAGTTGGGAAATGAACTCATTATTAGTATTATTATTAGTATTATCACGAACCGATCTACCAAATCAGATCAGTACGTCTATGAAGCCAGGCGGTCAATCAGCTATCCACCTGGCTAGCTGGAATGAAAAATGGAACAAATGAGGCAACTGAACAAATCTATGGAACAGAATCACTTAGATAACCAGCCGGGTACAATAAATTCGGACGGCGATGCAAAACACACCTTGAAGGAACCCAGAGAATTAATATTCTCTGCACTGTTTGAATTTCTTTGCGCACGGCAATAGACTTGACGGAAAACGGATAGGCATATGTAGACCCAGACAACAGAGATTGCAGTATGTTAGGATTACAAAAGAAACAACCTCAACTACATCATTAAAGAAATACCATTCGTAATGTTACTGAAAGTTCTTTGACAACCCACAATCTGTTTTATCTTTCTTAAGACTTATCAGGTAGGCACATTCTCCGGATTTCCATCAACCTCATGTTATTTTTTGGCCCGAACTGTACATTATTCGCAAAATACGCCTGGTGGAGAGTATTTTGCAAGAAGCGAAATACATTCGTTTGCAAACTGATTTGGTTTTGCAAGAGACTCAACTGGAATCCAGCTGAATCTCTCTTTTGTAATGTTTCCAGGCAACTGAGTGCACTGCACCAGGCCGCCTCGTGTTTCAGTTGCTACGATATTCGAGATATCGCGGTCGTGGGCTGTCGACGAATTTTCAGCAACCTTATGAATAATTTGCAAGTAATTCGGAACTGATTGAGCGAAATTACAAACGAATGGCTTTTTTAGTGTATTGATTATTTTGACTCGTTCAGCGTAGCGCGTTGAAGGTACTGTAAGAATCGCTTTTCCTAGAAAACGACAGCCATCTAAATGTAACCAGAGTGGAACAAATAATACATGTTCGTCGGTTACCCAGGAATCTCTCTGCTGCTGAAACGTGAACTCGTTCAACACCGATTCTGCCATACAAACCTCCGGCTGTTTGAAGTAGGAATCACTTATAACCAGTGCACAAATGTCTTTTATAAATAAACTGCAGTAGTCAGGATTAGAATCTTACCATAGGTGTACAACTTCTGGCTATGAGATTCAACTTGTAGGCTTGGGACGAATCTTGCGGATGCATTCATGACATTATCAAATCCCTAAATATCCGCTACTAACATAACTGGCAGAGACAAGAAATCACTTTATTGATTCCCGTGTAGCCTGGCTGCATACAACTCAACAAAAAGCGTCGTAGTGATGGGGAATATTCATGTTATTGCTGACACACAGCAAGGTGAAGCGAAAGGTGCTTTTGCCTTTTGTAAAAGTGTCTCCGGGTCAACAGTGATGAAGTGAGTTACCCTGTCTTTTCGTAGAGCAGACAGAGTAAGTGGTAATCTCTTTGAGCCGGGGAAACATACTGCTCAGTCTGGCTAATTAGTGTAGGGATTTTGAAATGTGTAACACGCATAGCAAGCTGTTCCATGGCGACCCGCCGTAGCTTTGGTACTGGGCGACACAGAGTTATCTAAATCATGAAGTTGTACCAAGTATTGGAATAGACTGGGGGCCTAACAAGCCTGCATAAAGCTCTCAATGACGTGTATTAGAGGGATTCACTAAGGTTCATTCAAATTACTGTAGCTGACTGTTCGACAGATGCCTGTGACAGATCGTGTAATCTATAGAGGCTGTCACGGACTTCGTTTGGAATGGTCGAACTATCCATTCAGTCCGGACCAAGAAAATCGATCCTTCGGGACTTGTGACAAAAATCATCTGTATATGATGAGCACGACAAGTATAGATTATTGAATAAACCCTACACTTTTACCGGATCTGGTAGGTGCAGTAAAAGTGAACCTGGTCGGCCAATATTTAATAATGTCGTTCAAAAAATCTAACTTAGAGTGAAAACTGTGTGAAATTGTAGAAGGACCATTACATCATTAATTCCAAAAACAATTACCTGAATTGGGATTGCTCGGCCTGTGTGAACGTCGAAACAGTGGAGTCTGGGTCGCAAGAATGGAGTGCCGGACATCTGCCAATAGCTGTTGCGGGGATTGTCAACAGTATGTTGTTGCATAAGATTTTCTACAGGCCAAGACGAATTTAGTGCAATTCATTACGAAACAAACAGTGGTGTGGGGTGGTTTCCAATTCATCGACACCCTGACATTATCCTACGTGCAGTTCTGTAGATTATGTGGTAGAATTTTAATGTCAAATGCTGTGTCAGTGCCGTGTTCCCATTAAGTGGACATCCTGAATGCCGTTAAGAAAGACTCTCCAATTTTATTCAGTAGCACTCTTCGTAAACTTACGGAGTGGTGCTGCTCCGGATGATAGACAAACCTAGAGATGTAAAGGAATCTTCTGTAATTCATTCTGGATCATTCACGTGTGTTGAATCCTTTCTTCTATTTTTTTTATTGTACAACGCGATTCCCCCTTTTTTTGTTATTTTGGTTCGCGCCTTTGCCAACCTTCTTGTTTTTGACCTGAACATAAACCGTTCTTTGACCTTGTCATTGGACGTGTTGTTTAAGTTCCCACATGGTTTCGCTAGCTTGTAAACAAGTGGCTCCGAGTCGGCGTGGACTTTGAGACCCGTTAGGAATTAGCAGTTCCTAAACCGCTGTATTGAAACCGACATAGTCCCACGATTCGAGGTTTGTAACGTTTTATCATTTTATTATTGTACTTATAGTACCGCATTTGTAGATTTGGCTTTTGGGGTTTCTAGCCTAACTCGACGTGGTCCAACAGATTGCTAGGATCAATCTATAACATGTACAGCTGAAAATGCCAGTGAATGCGACCCTTTCGATGACATCACTGTTCGCCAAAAAGAAACTGGTGACTGTAAAAAATTGTTCTCCTTAAATGTTTGCTTCGTCGTACATAAAAGTCAGTGAAAAAGAGAGAGAGAGGTAAATTGCGCACACGAAAAATGGTTGTCTCAACGGGCAAGAGTAGCGATTATGGACCTAAGATTATTTTCTGAGGAAGAAAAAATCGGGTACCCAATGCTTATGGAGATGACCTTGATTATTTCATGCATTGAACACACAAGAGGATGGTGATGAACAGAGACTGAATCCTAAACTTGCTTTGTGGTACATTATCTTTTTTTAAATATGTAAAATAATGGGGGAATGTAAAGCATGACACTAATGAGTAGCATTATTCCATCGGCCACATTAAGTGGTGCCTGTAATAATCCTATCTGGATCAGGGCCATAAATGCTGAGCACAGGCATGAAACACCCATTAGTGTGCCAAAGTGTTCGACTGGGAAACCGAGCATCACATTTGTGGCCTTCAAACTGGCCGACATTGTTTGAAATGAGATGCCAATAACAAATTGTATGTAAAATAGAGCTCGATGTCCGGGGAAAAATTGTGTGATGGTCATCAATAGAGTAAGCGTTGCTGTGATCAGTAGAACAGGATACATGGCTCGCATATGAGTCCAATAGATTTCTTCATCGGGTGGCTTTTGTTTGGAATCCTGCAGTTGACGTGCCAACTTTCTTTGAAAGTACTTCCTAGATGCATCAAAAATAAGCCCATTGACGGGGGCAACAAAGAAGGCGAATAGGGCCACAGCGGAAAATGCCTCCAACAGCTCATCCACAGTTTGCTTGTCGTTCCCAAAAGACCGATTTAGCTGTTTACTCAGACTGCTATTGTAGTAAGAGTAACGCAGATTTCCAGCGGGTGAATAGAACATTATCAGAGCGTACGGTGATGACAAAAAGCAAGATTTCAAGTTTGGATAACGTCTCCTAATAACTCTAGTCACTTCCATATCCACGTTTTCTATGGCCAGCGTTCCATTTTCTTTTATCTGATAAAAAGACAAAAATACGTTAATTTAGACAGGGAAAATGGCAGTGACCAGTTATCATTTAGTGATGGTAAAATGTCAACGATTCAAAAGGAAAATCATGCTAAAAACAGCAAATACAGTTCTCCTAAGGTCACTTTGAATCAGGCTGCTGAGTTCCACAATTAAGATGAATCTTTTGCTCACAGAACGTGGCTTAAAGTCTGTGCGCATGTTGAGATTAACCGAGACAACTGTACAGCGATGGTTCGGAGTGCAATTGGAGTCGGGACTATGTACAATAGCCGATTGAGATCCTATTCTTGTCCACGTTTCCCTGAACGCCTCAGCAACTGATAGATTGCATCTTATTTCCCATGGAGAAATTAGAACAGGCCTGTTATCCATGAAACCTAAAAAAGAGCACTCTGAGAAGTAACGCATCTGTTGGAGTCATACTCTTTTAGCGAAAGTTATTCACCCATATCAGGTTATCATTGCTTTCGTAAGCGACTCTCTGATACACCACGTCTATTGGTTGTTCTACTTCCTTAGCAGAGAGGTGTATTTTTTGCACAAAACCCAAGGTTTAGCAAAGTGAACCAACGGCTTACTCACAGCAGAGCACTTTTACAGATGACAGCGCACTCACTCAGATCAACATAGTATGCGGTAATCAAAATCAGCAACCGTACTTTGGAAATGCAGCTAAGCTTAAGGTTATGTTAGTAGCCTGGAAAAAAAGCTGAAATTTTAATCATTAAGCTTTATAATGTATGCAGTTAATAAGAAGGAACTCAGAGACCAACGAGTTTCGAATTTGTAACCCATATTGAAGATACACAAGACCGAAAAGACACCAGAACCGGTCTACAGGAATCGCAAATAACCTGCCCTTTTATCTCAAAATGAAAGAGGGCGATCATACATTAATTCGGATACGCAAACAAAATTCAAAGAATGCCAGATTTTTTGGTGTACGGCTGTGATTATTACACCAGACGAGTAATGAGGGTATGTTTACCAAGCACACAGGGTCCAGGGCAAAACCTATTAGCAGATTTCTGCTGTTAGCTGCCACCCGTTTATTAAATGATTGCAGAATTCACCAGGAAATTTATGGCATATTCTGTTGTATTTCACCCTATCTGGTTATACATCCCGGGGAGGGGGCTCTTGAGGCACAAACCAACACCAAATATTGCTGTTTCCGTCGAAAGTCATCCAAACCTTAGAATAAAATATGGAACGCTATGACCAAAAGGCTACATACGATAGCAAAAGTCGTACTTCTTCGTAGCTAAAATGTGTGGTTGAAGCACTGTGGAATATGCATAGCAGCTATTGGGCCGTAGATTTCATTTAACTTCTCCTAGGCTATCTTGAACGGCCAGATGCCTGCCTTTCATACTACCCTATGGATGCAAATAGATTGTTCCGGCAACAGGTAAACACCTTCTTTCGCTTGATGACGCATTGCTACCAGCCAACAAAGCGTTATATTTCTAATATGCGAGTTATTAGCATGCTAGAACGACGCAAAATGGGCATCAAAATTAGACACATTGTTGAGCTGCCTTCTTAAATCTGGATAAATTCTACCAGTGCATTTACTCGCAAGTGATTCTTCTTGATAATTCCTTCCATTAATCTGGGTGAATATTGTTTTACCGTTCAAATCAGTACCTGAAAATCTACATAAAGTTCGAAAAATTGGTTTTTGTGACGAGTATCATGTTATTTATATCCGTACTGGCGGCTGGTGTGTTTTTGCAACGGACGTTTCGGTTAGGTGACGTGTGTAGATTCAGCTACGCGTGATCTCCAAGCAGATTGAGTCGAAATACATTTCCTTAGTACAGTAACATAGATATGTCGCGTTCCTCCATAACAGGGACACTTCGGTAGCTTCAAGTGAAGTACTAATGAATGAACATGTCAAGCTCGATAATGCATGCCCCAGATTCAAAGGTTTACTGGATGCTGAAGGGATGATATATCGGTTGGAGTACCTACAGAAAACGCTCTGACACGCATCAAGGATCACGAAAAGAAAGCGAAAAACCTTAGCGCAAGAATGAACGTATATTAACCGGTTAGCTTCAGGCCTATGGCCACTCTCAAACAACCGACTTACACGCTTGTGTGCACTACTAGTTGAGCACCCATTTTTCGGTTGTTGATCAGGTGGCTGTTGTTCTGTTCGCTGGGCTTGACAAATGGTTTGCAAACGTTTTGCCAACATACGAGGAGACATCTTCAGTGGGTGGGTATCCGTGCGTACACTGATGATCTCTCCTCGTATGGTGACGAAACGTTTGCAAGCCAGTTGGCAAGCTCGGCGAACAGATTGACAGCCACCGACCTGATCAACACCCAGTAAGTTCACTGGAGCTACCAATATTCTAACACATTACCAGCAGTTTTTGTTAGTCTTGAATAGTTTGGATCATCCATGGCTGTGATACAGCGCCTGCTGTTATCTGTCCAAAATACCTCACCAATATATCAATTGATCCACAGCGAACTTGAGTCAGAATAATTCTAACCAGAGACCATTCGTTCTACATTTTCGTAATTGTTTCACTTCGAATTTGATGTAAGCCAACTGCGGATATTATCAAAATCGACATATGTGTTTTAGGGTGGGTGCATAACATGTGTTATCTGGATGGTATCATCAACTGCAGGATAAGTTTTTCATGGAATGAGAGAAAGTTTACGGAAATTAGCCGAAAAAAACGTGTACCTCATCTTCGACCAACGATTCCTCCACTATTTCCGGTGGTGGTAGGTCCATGTCACTTCCATATTGTTTGAGAAACAGCAAACCCATCAACGTACCATAGACGGCACTGATCACTCCAATCAGAATAAAAGACGTTTGTAACGAAATCTGAGGAACTGTCTGTGATATGAAAAACGCAATGGCTGCACTCGAATCAAAGGCACCGTTCTGCAGAGAAAGAAGCAGTCCATTCTGCTTTGGAAACCAGTTACTAATGAAGAAATTACAAAACAAATTGGCAAGGGAACCTATGGCAACAAAGACGACTGCTGGAAAGAGCAAAAATGAGGTATTCCCATTCGTGAAGGCAAACATCAACGATCCGGTGGTGTAAATGGAGACGGCAACTAATTTTGCAACTCGCAGCCCTATTCGGTCCATTAATAGTCCGGTCAAGGGAGAGAAGAACATCTGACAAAAAAGGCCCAGGATATATGCATAAGAGAACATGACATTTTGTCGACTACAGTCGGTGCCATTACAAAACTGCTCAAAAACTCCAATATCCGTGTACGCAGGTATCAAACTGTTTATCCCGTAGAAAAATGCTCCAAAGAAGAAGATTTCAATCAGAGAAGCGACCACTCCTATCCATTTCTTCTCACTGCCGGTCCAAAAAGTGTCCAGGCGTTGACCTGCAAGTTGAGAGGAGGGAAAGGTTAAACTTCGATCGTTTTGCATTTATGTTTATTACAAAGACTGATAGATTCAGTGGCGCTCAAAGGTCTTAAGTAAGAATGTGTGAGCACTAAATACCGTATCGGGCAACCAGGAGTAAATCTATACATGGATGGATTAACACAATAGATATATCTGGAAAAACGGCCCAATATCCTTGGTTTCAATATTTCTAGACGAAAACGGAGCCAATCCAAAATATAAAACCAGAAGAAAAGACCCTGGGGTCACTGTTAGCAACTTAGTAAAGTGCCATCTAGAAACGGACTTAACCAATGCACCTTTCCAACCCAAGTGCCGCCAGTTTGAGTGGAAATGGCTGTCGGACGGACATGTGTGGCGGCAACACGAGAAAATATGGCAACGCCAGGACAAAACCACCGAAAGAAGTCAGGAAGCTCAAGGTTAGCGGTCATCTGTTTGTCCGCCAGTTAGCGACCAGCTCAGCTAGCTAGCCGTGCTTTGTGCCAACACCATAGTAGTTCCGAACAATTGGTTTGCAACGATTATGCAACAGAGAAGAATTTGGCTTTGATACCACCGTTTACCTAAGACATGTTTATCCTCTTTTATGATGAGGCTGGCTCTTTTATGTGATTATAACCTATGATGTGTGGTAAATGGGTGTCCCGGTGTTTAACGGTGTCTTTCTTAGACAAAACTTTCAGAGTTCAGGGTCCAAACACGCTGGATTAAAAAACCAAATTGGAATTGTTCCACTTATGGTTAATACCAAAAATATGTGCAACATTTACAATGAAATTTGCTTTGTTACTTTGGGAGTTTTGGATTCAGTATTTTGTGCAGTCGATAGGGAAGAACAATTGCAGTATTCCCAAATCACTGCTTACGATAAATCTAAGAAATATATATGATGTCAAAAGAGAACATTGAGTTACTCGAGTCACTACTGCTAATTTTGTTGTCAAAGCGGCTTTCTGGGGATTTGAGGTACTACAACTCTTCTGACAAAAGTGCGATCCGGATACGAAAAGGCCACGCACTGGCTTGTTTAGCTTATCCCGAGTTCCCAAATCCTAATAGCAAATTGTATCCGTTTGCATATGCCTATGGTGTTAACGAGACACTCAGTTCGATCTCTCGTTAATTATGTTCGTCAATCGGAAATCAAAAAGACAACTCTTGCTTTTTTTGGCACAGTATTCCAGATCTGGCAGCATTTGATCTTGGCATGACACACCAATCCCAAGGTTGCTTAATACAACCCGACAGCCCGTCACTGACTTCACTTCGATGCTAGCTTTGAAAACACGGCTGGAACGCTGTCTTGGAGCTTCAAATCAAGGTACGTCTAACTTTTTGGACGTGATCACTCAGGATTGCGACGGAACGGTTTTAAATGTGTTTATAATTGCAGTATGCGTGTCTGCCTGTCCACTGATATGTTACGGCAAGCACAACCCAGAATAAAATGTTGCAAAGCTTGAAGATGTTTCACATAGGCGATTGGGTAGGGAACAGACCTAGATTACGAGGTCAAACCATAAAGCTGGGCTAATTAAACTGGGAATTGTTGAGGTTGCCTTTTTTCTTGAGGACTCTACTTCGCTCGTTCCATTCTGGAGTTTTTACTACTGAAGGCGGCGAGCAATATCGTCACATCATTCTATGAACATTCAGTCTCAAAATGGATGTTTTCTGTATTCAGGAGCCCAGTATATCCCTTACAAAATGGATTGTATTAAACCTAGTCCAAAGATTAAACGCTATGGTGTCGGCGATCATAGTTTCGTTTATAAGAAATTAGTTGGCAGTGCGGGAGTGCGTGAGAATTCGCAATCGAGATTTCTTCTGTAATGTAAGCTAACCTGTCTCAAAATCGGGTGCCAATCTAAAGAATGTAATCATTTTTGTACCGTCTGTAAGACCGACCACCGGCAGAACCTACTCAAACTGCTCGAGTTGATTACCCGGGCCCCGTTGAAGCCGCCTCAAAGAATGGAGAAAACTAGGAACTACCTGATACTGATGCTGACATATTCGCTCGTGCTCTGCCAAGGCCACCGAAACACGTTCAAATGGTTGGACAATTACATCAAGCAGTCTATTCGTGGCTGACTACGTCTACCAAAGGACATCCCGATCAGCTACATCCAAGTCGGTAAACAACATGGAGGACTTGGTGTCGTCTATTCGTGCTGACTACGTCTACCAAAGGACATCCCGATCAGCTACATCCAAGTCGGTAAACAACATGGAGGACTTGGTGTCCCTGGCCTGAGTGCAACAATCCCGATGCAGCGGGGAGCGCGTATGAAAAAGCTCCTTTTTACACAGTACCGGGTACTAAGCAATGTGGTCAATGATTTCGCATTTGGCAAGATTGTTCGAGATCTCAGCCTTCCGATCCGAGTCCATGATGCATTTGTAAACACCAAGGAAGAGCTGCTGGCTGCTTCGGGTGGTAGTCTGCACAACAACATTGACGGTCACAGTCATTTCGCCTCCCTCATTTCCAGAACGAATGTTTCCTCAGCTATTTATCCGCCGTATCCAGCTCCGATGCAACCTGCTTAGGACGAAGTTTAGAAGCGTTCATAGTGGCCAGACGATGTTCTGTAGTGGAGGCTGTGATCAACCGGTGCCATGAGGTGCAGATTTTGCAGTCCTGCTGGATCATACATAATGGTAGGGACTCGTGAAACGTCTCCTATCGTCTGGGATACACAGTCTTTGGGGATTGAGAGTGCGTACTTCGACGTTTTTCATCAAGTCTGACCTAACCGCACTTCGGGAACGCCGAGCGACTCAGATAGACGTCATCATAATCTCGGATGGGCGCTGAGTGACTGTGTAGAATGAGAAGAAGCAGAAGTATGGTGCTGATGAATATTCCCTCGCAATAGTCTCAGCCCTACGTGCAATCGGTTGTGATCATGACTTTTCATTCCACCAGTTGATGATCGTTTCTTATTGAGAGACCTGCTTTCTTCAATCAGCCAAGGCTGATTGTCACAGTCAGCGACTTGTGTTTGCTCATCTTTATGGGCTCTCTCCGTACTTACGACACTTTTATGTGTGGTGCACTCTTGCCGTCGACTCTCACACCAGACACAGTATGATGGAACTTTGTGCCTGATGTGGGCGTCTTGAGTTTGCTAGCGCTTGCCGCACCTTGAATAGTATTCAGCGTTGTTTGTCCCTTCCTCGGTTGTTGGTCACTACACGCTTGTTTTCATACCGCACATTCCTACATACATTGGGATTAATCTTGTCTGACTGTAATTGTTGGTGGGATGACTCCGAATGGCACACTTCTCTGTTTTCATCTAATATTATCCTGTCACGCTTCCAGACCCATCGTCTGCACTCACTTTCTATGTTTATGACCTTGTGCTTTTCAAATCAAACGATAATAGTTGTTTGAATGTATGTTTGGACAATAGTAGCCGATAATCTAGTGATTAGATTGCAGTTGGACAAGATATAGCGTCGCCAATCCCACAATGAAGAGAACCACATCAGGTGAGCAGTTGTTTACTGGCTATTCGAGTGATCATTTCTTAGGTGGAAGCGTTAATTGCAATTTCAAGAGGGGAGACTATGACTTTATGTTGTGCATGTAGCCATGTTATTCTAATCACAAAAATAACCGCCGATAAGTAATCCCAGAACCCCACTTGTTCACTTAATTCCTAAAGTAATGTTGTTTGACTGAGGTCTTAATGCATTTTGCACAATGGACCACTGAATCTTTAGTGGATACCTACTCTCTCTCGCTCGAAGCAGTGATTAAGGTTTCCGAAATTCCGATTTGGTTAGTGTGCGTGCAATAATGGAATAGGTGGCTAAATGCGACAAAACATGTTACTGAAGATAAAAAAATAATTTAAAAACTCTTAAACCGATATGACGACGGATTGAAAATTAACTGAAGGCTCGAAAACTATGTAAGCTAAGAGCAAAGCGTTTGTCAGATTGACTTATCTATTGTTTGCGAAATTGATGCAATACAGTGAGGTCACCAAGGCGCTGTCCGGCAGATGACAATAAACCAAAGACAAAATAAAAATATCTAGAGGCTTTATTATTTTTGCTTGGAGCCCTGAAAGTTTTTAGTTTATTTTCCCTTGAGCAAGCTGGCATGTTAAATTTTTTGACATGAACCAGAGCTTGCAAAAGCTCCTCGGCAATTCGACAAGCTTTCCTGTAACTCCGAAAACATTCAAACGTCGCGCATCATTGTCTTGAGAGAATGCGCTGCGCAAGAAATCTCAATTCTACGTCTCGATATATGAAAATCAGCAGATTTCTCATTTGACTTTATCTTACTTGTGACTTTCTGAAAGCACAATGTTTGGTATCGTCGATTCCATCTGAAAAAAAAAACACTCGTACGTTTCGCGAATGGAGCTATCTAAATGTGTTGTTCCGAGAAAAAGTGTGGACGGATAAGTGCTTGTGCCATAATTTGTACCATGACTGGCAAATTGTGCGGCTGGAAATGTACGAAGTTAAAAGCCAAACAGAGAGAACTTGGAAGTTGTTCTATCCGTACTCCCGTCAACGTAGACAGTTGATGTAAGTAACCGTTTTGACTGATCGGAGTCAGGTGCATTGCGTTTGGAGGACGACTTTTACGTATAAAGTGTCAGGTCACTTCACTGCAAGGAACGACACTACCTGATAAAGTAGCCGCGTCTGATTGAAACTCACAAACCACGTGTGTTTATCGCTAATTATTCTCCTTATTCGCCTATTCATGAGCATGCGATTCACACGAATGTGGTAAAAATGCAGTCTGTCTTGGTTTTTTGGTTTAGTGCAAGCATATTCAGCTCCTCTCTCAGAAACAAATTTTCTCAGGGTTTCAGACAATAGTAATTTACCACTTGTTGGTAGTCAATGAGTTGCGCGGTAGGTTAGCCATGGCAACCAATACTGACGCTACTGAGGTGACCAGTACATTTGTCCACTTGTCACTTTTCAATAAGCTTTCGGCTTAACAAATATAAAAGGTGGGATGTGAAATATTGCCCAGCCGGGAGCACTTGGTGTGCTCCGTTGACTGATTTTTGTTCATAAACTGGTGACACTTTTCAGACAGTATTCCCCGGAAGAGATGACGACTTTTGTGAGTGTGGGAGTTTCCTTCCAGTGAGGAAATGTGTTGCGGATCTGCTAGCATCAGCCAAATAGATGAGTTAGCGGTAGAGCAAAAAATGCGGTCATCACGGGTCTATTCTCCGCAAGATGCTAGTGAGGCTTAGAGCTGTGATTACTCAGGATATCATTGTTCATTTGAAGAAACGGACATTGCCTACCTCAGTTAGATACCCCCCAGCTAGGATGATGTCGTTCCTATGTCTCACGTTCGTTTTTGTGCACAAACGTTGACATTAGCTTTCTTAACTGATGACCGAATTATTACAGAAATTTTGTTGATTGAAATCTATGATAGTCCAAAATTCAACCTTTTATCAATCTCTTTATCCATTTATGTCATGCCAATAGTCGTTAATCTAGGCCGAAAAATTTGGTGCACAAAAGTACAGTGAACCGATTTAGACTAGTCCAGCTCATCAGATTACTTCCGCGCTGAACCCACTTGGGATTCTTCCATACCACGAGATAACAATCCACACGATTAAGGAGATACTAATAGCTGGATTGATTATTCTGTCGCTTTTATTTTGAAGCGAATTGGTTTGCCGTTTTTCATAAGTGAAAAATTTCTAATTAAGTTTAAACGATAGGAATAACACAATATTTTGGATCTCGAATTGATAGATAGATTCCTCGGATTGACTGCTACACGCGAAGTGTCATGACGTCCAATGTTGTCTAGTGTCAAGAACATAGCAGAGGACATTCATGAATGTAAAGCTCGTAACTTATCTTTCTACGCATATAATGCCAGAATGGTGAGGAGATTTGGGAGTTCTCAGTTGCGATTCTTTCCCGCAAGTGACGCAGATCTATACAGAAGAGTCTAAAAGCATTTTGAAGCCGTTCGCGTTCAGTGTGGGTTATTAACTGTGGGCAGTACACGAGTTATCAGTAACTCAATCTCAGACAGAATGCATCTCCATTCATACTTGAATTACGGCATATACATCACGTGGTCACTCGTTGATTGGTTGCAAACTCCTGAGGCTGTCAAGCTAGATGTAGGGAACCGAATGAAGCCTCCATATACAACTCCAGTCCGCCTCCACATGTACGTAAATGATTGAACATCTATGGGCACTTATGTATGACAAATGTGAGCTTCAACATAGGATTGGCCAACAGCACAAATTTTAGTCTAATTCGTGGTTGTAGACAGGCTCATTTTTGTCATCCTGTCTAACAATCACTGTCTCTACCAGTCTTATTCAAAGATGCATCAGTAAGAACCAAAACGTGAACAAGTCAGTAACAGTCAGTTGCTAACACATTTTCTCAAAAGAGTTGCCTATGGATTCAAAGACTGTCTATTGCATACCACTGGTCTCTTTGTGCTTTCAAACTAAGTTCTCAATTCCGGAGACGTAAGGATCATAATGTACTTTCTTTTCGGATACTCCATCAACATCACCACGTCTCAAGGAGCCTTGTTCTACGCATGAGATTTATGGGAGTAAAACATCACAGCGAAGGTAAAGTTGTCAATTAAGGATGTCCTAGTCACACTTGAACCGAAAAAACGTAAACGAAGTATTCGATGGCGCTTCAGGGACTAGGAACTCATCAGCCTTGGCCTGAAAGAAGCCAAATCTTATGGCAGCAGGATGAGCCAAGAAGACCTTGGTGGCTCTCAATGTACAGCTTACCAAACCAAACGGTGCAGGTCATGTAGAATAAACAAGGATCCTGAGCTCATAGTCACAACCTCAGGATTGAAAACAATGAAAGAACTCATTGATGTCCAGGCTTGTTACAAACCAGTGAGAGGTAATCACTTGCACCTGCCTATTGTTGGCAAGTGATGTAAACCTCATTACTTCCAAATCCTCCATGTGTAGACAGAGCGGAATTAAACCTAGAGATGAGGTGACTGACAGAATTATAAATCAAAAGTTACTTTCGTCATTATCTGACATCTCTTTCGGACATCCGCCACTAAAGATGTATAACTAAAACCAAAAACACGTTAGTGGAACGCATATTCACTTGGGCGCTAACAGAGTAGGATGTGTTTTCGAGGTCCTCGGAAACTAGTGACTTCACGTAACCGACTGCATTCACGATACAAAGCACGGTGAGCACAGGAAATCCCTATTAGTTGTGACAAACTCTCTGACTGCCGTATCAAAGATAGCCAACATTCTCCGATTGGATGAATGTAATTTGAGAAGTAGGCTGTCTCAGAAAATCGATCCCAGAGAATTTGTTCACTCTTCCAACAAAATTGTTGGTTCCACTCTCTTCAGCTGCCTTCTCAGCAGGAAACCATTCAACTGGAAGCAGGACATGGTTAAATATTGAGAACAAAAGTTCAGGTTTTATCCATGGTAAATAAGGATCAACAAAATACAGCTGCTTGTAAGTCAATCAAGCCAACGATCGTGTGGTGATTGTTGCAGTTTTTTTTTAAAAAAATATGACTACATCAAGTTGAAAAAAAACATCAATCTAGCCACAGGTTGGTCTGACTGACCTGCAGAAAACAAGTAAAAACCATGAAATTTAGCAAAGGAAGTAGTCCCGAAAGTGTCATTTTTGGAGGAGGGTAACAAGAAAGCAAAAACACCCTTCCCTCTGTAGCCAGTTCGTGGATTCTCCCTATGAGGCGGTGACTTCCACTGGGATGCGGCTTTCTTAGCTTATACGAAAGGTTGATTACAGTTTCAGACATGGAAACTGACTGTGCCAAAACAATTTAGAAATTGATTGTCTTGATATTGTGTTGTTCAGTGTTTTAGTGAATATTCTATGAAATCCGTCATTTTATTTTTATTGTTATGTAAAGTGCTAGATTTGACGCATTTTATCGTGGAAAGAAAACGGCTTGTGTGTGTCAGCCATTATCCTTCTCCCGTAACTCATTTATTTTTTCTAAAAGGACACCGCTACCCCAGATCAAAATGTCTGATATTTTACACTAGTCCAGCCAACCACCACCTTCTGGGCACCTTACTAAGTGTGTATCAATTTGGCTTCGTTGATTATCTATACTATACTAAATGAACAATCAGCTGATCTTAGTTGAAGAACTTGTGTTTGGATGAACATTAACTAGCATAGACGAAACGACGTCCACCTGATGTTACCATGCAATGAACAACCGGGAAAAATTCAGGTAAAACTAACACCACTGCGTACTTCAGAGTAACAGAAAAATTTATGAATGATTCGGTAATCAGATGTTGCAATATCGTCCTGAAAATAAAATGTGTATATGATTGCTTTTAGCGATTGTACAAGCATTAACGTCCGCTTATTCCCACCGCAGATTGGATTGACTAGTGCTACCTATACAGAACGGTCTACTCATTAAAAAGAGACAGCAATGATTGAAGAGGTATTCGACGTTACTCCTGTAATCACGTTGGAGAACATTGTTGTCCAGCGTATCCATAGTTGAAAGGATCGTTCAAGGTGATCTGCAAGAAGCATTCCCTCTTTATTCATAGCCACACCACTAGCGTTTGAACGATCGTCCTCCTGTTCTGGCGTAATTGTTCCGGTGAGTCCACACCAAAGGGACGCACTGGACTCGAGTTTCGCTCTTATTAGAGCCTATCAGCAACTCATATCCAATGGCTGCCCCGGGATTTGAACCGCGGACATCCGATATGCGATGCGAGAATGTGACCACTAGTCCACCAACGCACGTTGGACGCATCTGAATTTTCACGTCTGAACAGGCCAAGACACTCACCGGAATAATTACGCCAGAATAGGAGGACGAACGTTCAAACGCTAGTGGTGTGGCTCTAAAGAAAATACCTAACCTGCAAAACCCCAAAACTGCACTGGCTAGATGTAAACCCAGGACTGTTTACTGCACTACGGAGGGCACGTAGACGCTTGCCATATACAGTTGAGAGGTTAGTTGGTGACGTAAACATTGACGATTTGACCACCTGACCAGTTCCCAATGGTTAGCTTGTTAAATACAATGTTTACCTGAAAATCAGCAGTCCAGATAGCTCAGTGGTTAAAGCGCCAGCTTACAGACCGGAAGATCCGTGGTTCATGCCCAACCTCAGCATTTCGGCTGTTCCTGTCTGGGCTAGGGTACCTAGCCCTAGTGCCTCCTTCCGTTAGCTTGGTTGCTAGGCACCGAAGGAGTGCTACAGCTTCATTTATAGTTTAAACATCACCATTTTCACCAAGAAACAAGTTTATCTTTTAGACCTCCCTAATGTCGGAAATGGATTGCTTGTCCTTGGTTGCCATATCAACCGGAAAATAGCGATTTCAATCATGTGACATGATTGACTTCAAGGTCGCACCATTATCCTGATTGCATGATGATGTAACCGACACTGACTGTTTCGCTTGTCAGTTAGGTAAACGTAACGGAAATCGACCTACATTGGCTTAGAAGAGAATAATGAACAAATCTATCTGTACCTAGCTTTTTGTAAAAGTAATCGCCTATCTCGGAGTGAATTCATTTTAATTTGCGAAAGACAGCTCTGCAGTCTCCTGAGGTGAGTAGCAATCCTAACATATCGTTGGTGCCAGTGGACGATGCATGCAGCACGCGGTCATCAGAAGTGACAATACCTTGAGGAACTGTAATCTGAACAGCGAGAATATGGATTTTTTTTGGGGGGGGGCCGCAAAAACACATCTATTTTTTTCAACTACAGTTGTAATCTGAAATCCCACATTACCATACGGTCCCAAAAACTGTCTAACAGAAGTCACCCGGATGGCTAACTTACAACAAGCATTACTAATCTGAGAATTCTGGCTGGACTTCTAGGCTTAACACAGCAAGGCTCATGGAGACGCAGACTAAAGGGAAAGACGATTGTGGATGAACAACTTCGAGCTCACTTGACTCTGTCAATGCCTTTTTCAGGGCACGCAGTTATTCAAATTTTCCTATGTTAAATGTCATAGCCCTTGGTCTACTCGATGGAATTTTCCGTAACACTTAGTCATAGATCTCACTATTCTCATTAGGGTCTCCGATCACTAACGCATTTCCACAGTTTAAAACCTGCACGCAAACAAGCCGTTTTTATACTGTTGGAAGCTGGAAAACCTTAATCGTTCGTTTTTTCTGTTTTGCTATCTTCAGTTGATCTACCAGTGACCGGCGCAAAGAGAGATTTATTTAGCATTGCTACCTGTTTTTCGAAGATCCGTTGAATGGTCAATTACTGTGAGGACAGTTTGACTTGAAGTCTTCTACCCGTTCTATGAGTACGCCAATGTGAGCCCGTATAGATGTGTCACTATTTCGTAGAACTTTATTGGCCCAACTAGTGGTTTAGTGTCTCTCATGTTATCATGCAAATAACGTAGACATTATACAGCCTTTGTAGATTTCGTCAGTATCTTTGATGTTAACTGTCACACATACAAACCTTTTGGCGGCGTCGGCGCCGTTCAGCATAATGCATTTTTCGTGCTTCACTCACGGTGTCTGTAGGCCATCTGCCGTTTAGTCCTGATAGCGCCTCTCTGAGGTAGTGCAACTACCGAATGCGCAAGGTGTTGTCATTTTTGCCCTGTCAATCAGCTAATAGATCCTACTGAACTGGTAAAACTCACCAAAAAAAAATGGAATGAATGCAGTTTATTGTAACTGCGGTGGGTATCAGCAATAGTATTGCTACTGACATGGAGTGTGATGTGCGCACGAACCCACATATGAGTTTCAAAAACGCCAGCATAGTCATTGATTGATTCTTCCAAAGTAAATCACAGCAGAGATCTTTAATTAGACTGAATTAAAACTTTGACAGTCATATCAGTCAGTTCAAAAACTTCAGGACAATAGACAAAGATAATGCGTGGGACGTGTCAACCGAACGAGCACACGAAGTTTACACACTTAGAATAGAACCTGACAAGATCCCGATCCGGGAACACTCTAAGTTTCGGGGCATATGAAAATGATCAAAGTAACGACTAATGTGGTTTACAAAATACTTCCCTTAGATACAACAGTAATCCTGACTGGATGTCAACGGTCTCATAGACGACATAAATGCCTATGGTACACAACCCAGCGAGAATATGGATTTTTTTTGGGGGGGGGCGCAGAATCACATCTATTTTTTTCAACTACAGTTGTAATCTGAAATCCCACATTACCATACGGTCCCAAAAACTGTCTAACAGAAGTCACCCGGATGGCTAACTTACAACAAGCATTACTAATCTGAGAATTCTGGCTGGACTTCTAGGCTTAACACAGCAAGGCTCATGGAGACGCAGACTAAAGGGAAAGACGATTGTGGATGAACAACTTCGAGCTCACTTGACTCTGTCAATGCCTTTTTCAGGGCACGCAGTTATTCAAATTTTCCTATGTTAAATGTCATAGCCCTTGGTCTACTCGATGGAATTTTCCGTAACACTTAGTCATAGATCTCACTATTCTCATTAGGGTCTCCGATCACTAACGCATTTCCACAGTTTAAAACCTGCACGCAAACAAGCCGTTTTTATACTGTTGGAAGCTGGAAAACCTTAATCGTTCGTTTTTTCTGTTTTGCTATCTTCAGTTGATCTACCAGTGACCGGCGCAAAGAGAGATTTATTTAGCATTGCTACCTGTTTTTCGAAGATCCGTTGAATGGTCAATTACTGTGAGGACAGTTTGACTTGAAGTCTTCTACCCGTTCTATGAGTACGCCAATGTGAGCCCGTATAGATGTGTCACTATTTCGTAGAACTTTATTGGCCCAACTAGTGGTTTAGTGTCTCTCATGTTATCATGCAAATAACGTAGACATTATACAGCCTTTGTAGATTTCGTCAGTATCTTTGATGTTAACTGTCACACATACAAACCTTTTGGCGGCGTCGGCGCCGTTCAGCATAATGCATTTTTCGTGCTTCACTCACGGTGTCTGTAGGCCATCTGCCGTTTAGTCCTGATAGCGCCTCTCTGAGGTAGTGCAACTACCGAATGCGCAAGGTGTTGTCATTTTTGCCCTGTCAATCAGCTAATAGATCCTACTGAACTGGTAAAACTCACCAAAAAAAAATGGAATGAATGCAGTTTATTGTAACTGCGGTGGGTATCAGCAATAGTATTGCTACTGACATGGAGTGTGATGTGCGCACGAACCCACATATGAGTTTCAAAAACGCCAGCATAGTCATTGATTGATTCTTCCAAAGTAAATCACAGCAGAGATCTTTAATTAGACTGAATTAAAACTTTGACAGTCATATCAGTCAGTTCAAAAACTTCAGGACAATAGACAAAGATAATGCGTGGGACGTGTCAACCGAACGAGCACACGAAGTTTACACACTTAGAATAGAACCTGACAAGATCCCGATCCGGGAACACTCTAAGTTTCGGGGCATATGAAAATGATCAAAGTAACGACTAATGTGGTTTACAAAATACTTCCCTTAGATACAACAGTAATCCTGACTGGATGTCAACGGTCTCATAGACGACATAAATGCCTATGGTACACAGCTGTCTACATATATATATATATATGTATATATATATATAACGAGAGAACCCCAGACAAATTAGTATAAATATCTCCTTTTAAATTATATCTCTAGACAAGATAGGGTTTATTTAACTACAAAGACTTCTGAAAACTGAAGCTGAACAATTTGCATTTTATGGGAGAGGTTTTGCGGGGTGAGGAGGGGAGGGTTGTATACGTGGATCAACATGGAAAACCGAGCATAACCGTTTGTCAGTAAATGATGATCAAATCGACATACATCAGTGGATAAAGACTTTTTTCAGGAAAGCCGCTTTTACGCTTGCCTTTGTAGCTAAATGACTTGGAGAATTACTGAACCAACATGCATTTCTAAGCACAGAGACGCTGAACTTCAGCTGAAAGCACAACGGATTATAGCTCCCGTAGGAGCGAAATTTTCAGGTCTTACTCTGACAAATGGGGAAACTTAGTGACCAGTTTTAACCCAGGGTAATCAACAGGGAAATGGCTGTGAAGCGCTGTCTTACAATGATAATTTTTCACAAGCCATCTCATATAAGTTGAACAGACGTACATCAACGATATCAAAATATATTATTCCGCTTCGTGTAATCAAACACTTTACCCCACTGCTGTAACGAATGCCAAGACATGCAAAATAGTCTGTTTAGTGCGAAAATAATAAAAGGGTTCTACGGGGATCGGTTTGAACCCCGGTTGCATCAATATTGTGCTATTCTCCCTGTTATTAGTTACAACTGCTATAGCAAGCTGGGTGACCATTTTCCAATCGTCTTGCAGTTCCCATGAACTCTTACTAACTCCCTAATTGTTCAATAAATGGTTTCCTGTGTTATATCAAACTACAAAGTGAAATAACTGGGAAAGCCGCACTACTCACAAAGTTGCTGAAAACGCTTAAGAATATCGCAGAAGAAAAATTCATTTGGGTTCAAGGTGAGTCTCCCATCAAAATAGAATTGCTATGCAAATGGATGCATCTGTTGCGATATGTTTTTTTTAAAGTTTATATCCACAAAACTAGAGGCTATGTAATATCATCCTGTATGTATCGTGAAACGATCTTGCAGATGACATGCGAAGACTTCATCCGGAATTTAAATATTAGGTCAACCGTCAAGTGTGAAATTGGTAAGAAAATATTCAA